TTGGTACAGTGCCACGTCAGCAGTGCCATGTCAGCAGTGCCACATCAGCAGTGCCATGTCAGCAGTGCCACGTCAGCAACAGTGCCACGTCAGCAACAATGCCACATCAGCAACAATGCCACGTCAGGAGTGCCACGTCAGCAGTGCCACATCAGCAACAGTGCCATGTCAGCAGTGCCACATCAGCAACAGTGCCATGTCAGCAGTGCCCCGCCACCATGACGGGCTCAGCTCTGGGCATGCCAGGCCAACTGGCCAACGAGTCCATTGCTGAGTACAAACAGCGGTTCCAGACTCAGCTCGCACTGATCAAGGCTGAGGAACAGCGCCAGGTGGCAGCTGAGGCTGTCTGCCTACAGGCTGAAGCGGCGGCAACAGCTGAGAAGCAGCGACTTCAAGCCGAAGCTGAAGCAGATACCCAGGCACGCCGCAAGGAGGCCCAGGATCTGCTACAGCAGCATGAAGCCACCAGCATAGAAAAACTCAAGTTTTGGCACATTCAACCATCCGAGGAGCACGACGACGCGACACCGGAGGAGCAGCACAAGGAATTCATGGCCAAACTCGTGACTCTGTTGGTTTACACTTGTAACCACCTGCAGTCCGAGCTGGCGAACCTCCAGCGGGCCGTACGGAACCACAAGGCTCAGCACGACGATGCAGCACGGGCACTTGATTCCTGTGTACAGGACTTGGAACAAACTGCACCAAGACCGGAGGCTGGCGAGTCCAGCAGTGCACCCTCTGCCCGCCAACTGGAGGAACGAGTTGACCACGTAGTCGTAATGCTCGGCGACATCAGTACCTTCGCTGCACCAGCCACCATCAGCAACCAGCTGGACACCTTGAAGACCGAGGTTCAGCAACTGCAACTGCCTAACAAAGATGGCAACATCACGCAGCATTACAAGATGCCGACATTCCAAATCGAGAAGTTCGATGATTATACGCATCAAGACCCGGTCCTCTGGTGGGAGGGCTTTACAACGCAACTTCGGATTCTGTTCGTCGCCAAGCATGCGTACATCGGCGCGCTGTTCCTCAACTCAAAGGGCGGATGCCAGTTCTGGTTGAGCCACCTGGCAACCGTCCACGGCGTCGACGTCGCAGATCTAAAAGACAAGATCTCTTGGGAAGAGTTAACACGGCTATGGAAGAAGCGGTTCATCGTAGACGACGCCCCGACGCTCGCCATCAACCGCCTCTTCGCTATGACGCAAGGCAACACATCGACACGTGACTGGCTCACTGAATGGTAAAAGATCGCGGCAACGCCCGATCTTGACTTGCCATGTTCGCATCTGCGCCGCGAGTTTTACAACCGGTCATGTGCTGCTTTGAGCCTTGCACTTGGTGATCGCGAGCAATACGCGACCTTCGCCTAAATCATCGACAAGGCAAGGGAGATGATCAAGACCAATAGGGCAGCTGCACATGAGAAATCAGCATGGCAGCCAACCTATGTGGAGAAGGTGAAAACTGGTCCGCGGCTGCAGCATGTCGCTGTAGTCCAATTGGACAATATTGTGGAAGACCCGACAGCCACCCAAGCGTCACGTGAGGGAGATCAGGTGGCTGCTGTCCAGCCGCGAAGCAACAACAAGTCCCGAGGAAACGGGAAGGCGAAAACCGCATCGCGGACCGGAAATGGACAGCCAGCACCATGGGTCAAGTTTCACTTGACCGAGGCGGAATACAAGTGGCGCGGCCGCTACGGCTGCTACTATTGGTGCAACAGCACCAAGCACAAGACCTCCCAATGCCCAGATCAAGGCAAGGAGGATGTTCGGCCTCATATCAACTCGGGAAACTGAGATCTGCGGGAGGTGAGGCGACTCCACCTCTCACTCCGCCAGATTCGGCCGCCTTGCTAGCGGCCTCCTACACATCTGGGGAGGATGCGAATGACACAAGTTCTCAGTACACTTGCGAGGAGTATGCTGTCCACTTGGTCCCACCATTGGACCAACCGCTCCGCGTGCAACAATCTACCGCATGCACGGTTTCACTACCCGGCAACCGAGTCGGCAGCTTCGCCGCCATCTATAGCCGGGGATTCGACGATATGGTCAAGACTTGAAGAGCTCGACCCGTTGACGTTTGCGGACTTCCAATGGATGCCCCTTCCCCGGTCCGGTCGATTGCCGAGACCGCATTGCAACCTGCTCATGGCACAATTGCAGGATTACTTGCACACTGCAGTACCAACTCCGTTGATGGACGCCGGAGTAGAGGTTGTCGACCTTCACGACTACATTGCGAAGATCGACCGCAGGTTCAAGACACAACTGTACGACGACATCGACGCACCATTGTTATATGTACGCATTCAGATCGGAGACGCGACCTGCAGCGCTTTGATCGATTGCGGAGCATCTCGCAACTACATGAGCCAGGACTTTATGGTACGCGCCGGCCTTGGCCCACGCGCCCGGAGGAAGTCCCAGCCTACGCAAGTCACGTTGGCAGATGGTCACACGCATAAGTCAATCGACTGGTGCATTGATGACGTCCCTGTATACTTTGCCCCGCATGCAAGCGAGGCGGTGTCCTTCGATATTTTGGACACCAAATTCGATATGATCTTGGGCATGTCATGGCTGCGAAGCGAGGATCAYCCGGTGAACTTCTACCGCCGCACCGTTCACGTTTGTGATCGGAACGGAGTACTAGTCCCATGCACGGTAGCTCCTCCTCACCCTTCGATCAGCTGCCACGTGGTGTTCGCCGCAAGCATGCGAGCTTCCATCACCAGAGACGACATCGAGGAGATGGGGGTGTGTTTTTTCCACGCCCTCCCATCGACGGACCCATCTTCGGACCCACGCATTGCCAAACTTCTCGACGCCTACGGCGACGTGTTCGAAGGCCCGCACGGAGTAGTACCGGATCAGCCCATCCGCCACGAGATCATCCTCGAGGACAGGGCTGTACCTCTGCGTGGTTGCATCAACCGAATGAGCGAGGAAGAGTTAAGTGTGTTGCGGGCACAACGCGACGACCTTCTGGAGAAAGGCTGGATTCGGCCCAGCTCATCGCCATACGGTGCTCTCGTTCTCTTCGTCCGAAAGAAGAACAAGGATTTGCGGTTGTGCATCGATTATCGCAAGCTCAACGCGCAAACGGTAAGAAACGCCGGCCCTTTTCCACGCATCGACGACCTTCTCGAACGGTTGGGCCGCGCCAAGTTCTTCTCCAAGCTTGACCTCAAGTCGGGAAATCACCAACTTCAAATTCGGCAGGAGGACCGCTACAAGACCGCGTTTAAGACGCGATATGGGCATTTCGAATGGCTGGTTATGCCATTTGGCCTTACAAATGCCCCGACCACTTTCCAAGTGGCTATGACAACGGAGTTCCGACACATGCTGGATCAATTCGTACTTATCTACCTCGACGACATCCTGGTGTACAGTCGGAGTTTGGACGAGCATGTGGAACACCTGTGCACCGTTTTGGAGCGGCTACGACAAGCCAAGTACAAAGCCAACCGCGACAAATGCGAATTCACGCGGCAAGAGCTGGAGTACTTGGGACATTATGTGATGCCGCAAGGCATCCGTCCGCTTGCGGACAAGATCGAGGCCCTCCGCATATGGCTCGAGTCCACCAACACCACGGACGTTCGTTCATTCATGGGGTTGGCGGGCTACTGTCAGTGATTCATCACCGGGTAGTCAAGGATTGCCGCACCTATGACGAGATTACAATCGCCAAAGGTGCCATTCGTATTCGATGACGACGCAAGCCGGTCATTCCAAACACTTAAGACGGTCATGCTCATGGCACCCGTCCTTAGCATCTATGACCCCACCCTGCCTACGAGAGTGATAACTGACGCTTCCGGCTATGGCATTGGGGCAGTCTTGGAACAACACGACGGCGACGACTGGCACCCTGCGGAGTATTTCAGCCACAAAGTGCCTCCCATCAATTTGCTTGATGATGCAAGGAAGAAGGAGCTGCTCGCATTCGTGATGGCTCTCAAGCGATGGTGGCACTTCCTCCTTGGGCGTCGAAGGTTCACATGGGTCACAGACAACAACCCGTTGACCTACTACAAGACGCAGGATACGGTGAGCAGCACGATCGGATGATGGATGTACTTCATCGACCAATTTGACTTCACACCGAAACACCTCCCCGACCTCTCCAATCGCGCGGCAGATGCACTCTCGCGAAGACCCGATCTTTGCGCTATGACACATCATGCCTTCGCATTCGACGAGGAATTCCAGCGACACTTCATCCGGGGCTATGAGTCTGATCCGGACTTCGCCACGTTGTATGCGCAGCTATCTTCGGATCACCCGCCGGCCAGCCACTATCGCATTGCCGACGGGTACTTGCTCCTCCACTCGAGAGGCAAGGACTTATTGTGTGTCCCACGAGACCGTCGTCTTCGGACTCGCCTTCTCAGGGTGTACCATGACTCGCGACTCGCCGACCATTTCGGAGTCAACCGCACTATTGCACGGCTTCGACAACGATTCCGATGGCCCGACCTCATTATCGATGTCACTCGGTATTGCGACTCTTGCAAAGTTTGCCGACGAAGCAAACCCCACAATCGCAACCCCTACGGCGAGTTGCGCCCGATGCCTATCCCACGGGAACCCGGCTTCTCCATTGCCATGGATGTCATCGGACCATTTCCCCGCGATCGCCTCGGGCACGACGGCATCCTCACGGTTGTGGACCGATTGTGTAAGTATGCGCGTTTTCTCCCTTGCAAGTACTACTCCACGGCTCCCGAGCTGGCACGCCTCTTGCACACTGGTTGGATTTGCGGCCACGGTGTACCGGAAGACATAGTCAGCGACCGYGACAYTCGCTTCATGTCGRCATTTTGGATTGCTCTCATGCAGGAGTCCGGCACGAAGATGAAACCAAGTTCTGCTCGGCATCCACAGACGGACGGGCAAACGAAGCGGGCACATCAAACCGCTTAAATGATGCTTCGTACGCTCATCCGTCCGCACCAGAAAGATTGGGTTGACCGCCTCCCCGACATCGAGTTCGCCTACAACACTTCGGTGCACCCGGCGATCGGCGTGACTCCATTCGAGTTGCACCGCTGTGGATGGAAAGGCCGTATCTTCGCCGACCTTCTCCTCCCACGACCAGCCGACATTGACGCCGCTTGCTCTCTTGCTTCCGTCCGGAAGTACAGGGAATTGTTGGCTCGAGCCTGCGCGAATATGCAAAAGGCTCAAGTCCGCATGCAGCAGCAAGCCAACAGGCGTCGCGTGCCATGTCCCATCCGCGCCGGTGATCTGGTTTGGGTCTCCGCGGAAGAGTTTGCACTGGAACAGGATGTTTCATGCAAACTGCTTCCCAAGTGGTTTGGACCATGGCCCGTAACATCAGCCGCGGGCGATGAACCCGATGGCCCTTCATTTGTGATCAACATCCCCCCGCATCTGATGGTCCATCCAGTCTTTCACGCCTCGAAGCTGGCAACATATACACCAGCTAAGAGCGACGACTTCTCGGGCCGACGATCGCAAGACCCTCCATCTATGGATGGTCATCAGGAAGTTGACCGGGTCATCACGGATCGCAAGTACGGCAGTAAGCCTCGACAGTACAAAGTTACATTCAAAGCATGCGATCCCGACGACACTCGGTGGTTTTCAGGAACAAATTTGAAAGCATCCGCACCGCTGATCTACGCTCACTACGAGCGACAAAGGTTAGCTCAAGGAACTGCACGACCTGCCCCTCCCACCTGGACTGTGGTCCCTCCCTTAGACAGACAGCTTCGCCCTCGCAGGTAAGCTTGGTCTTTCAAGGAGGGGGGGGTGTGGCATACCGCTTAGCCACACGGGCCTGCAAGGCCCCTCCCGCATTCTCAGCCTAAAAGCCTAGAAATAAGGGCTTATAGGCCCCGTGTCGTTTCAGCCTGAAAGACTGAAAACGAGGGCCTGCATGCCCTATGTCGTTTCAGCCTAAAACAGGGTTTTTCAGCCCTGAGGCTTTTCAGCCCTGAGGCTTTTCAGCCTTGAGGCTTGTCAACCTGAAACGGAGGGGCACTTTCGGGCCCTCATAAGATCGACCTGCCCTAACACTCAGGCACAAAACCAGGGTTTCGGGAACAGGCTATTTCTGGCCTGTTCCCACGACAGCCTCAGCAGGAGCTGCAGCGGCAGCCCCTGACTCCCTTCGGCATTGGCAAGAGCAGCCTCCTGGGCTGCCTCGCCCTGCAGTCAGGAGGCAGGCCGAGTAGTACATAGGGAGTTCCCATGCACTTCACGGGTAGGTAGTTGACAGAAGGCAGGAGGCAGTCTTCAGGATTCGGCAGCAGCACTCAGGAGGAGCGCTGCAGTAGTAGCTTAGCGCTAGCAGTAGTCTTCAACGTTGGGCACTAGTAGCTGTAGGAGTAGTCTTCAGCGCAGGGCGCTAAGTAGTGGTAGTGGTAGTAGTGTTGGAGAGAGATGGCTGGCGGAGGCCAGCGAGACTTACCTGTGGCGCCATAGCTCCAGCTCCATCTTCGAGGTACCTGCATCAAGGCGCCAACTTCACAGGTTAGTACCGGACTAAGAGAGAGAGAGAGAGAGAGAGAGAGAGAGAGAGAGAGAGAGAGAGAGA